CCCTTCAGATACTTGTACACATTTATGAGACCGCCTCTCAATCTTCTCTTCTCCAGGCTGAACAGGCCCAGCTCTTGCAGTCTTTCCTCATAGGAGAGGTGCTCCAGCCCTCTAATCATCTTGGTAGCCCTCCGCTGGACTCTCTCCAGGAGTGCCATGTCTCTCTTGTACTGGGGAGCCCAGAATTGGACACAGGACTCCAGGTGGGGCCTCCCCAGGGCTGAGTAGAGGGGCAGGATCACCTCCCTCGACCTGCTGGCAACACTCTGCCTAATGCACCCCAGGAGACCATTGGCCTTCTTGGCCACAAGGGCACACTGCTGCCTCATGTTTAACTTGTTGTCCACCAGCACTCCCAGGTCCTTCTCTGCAGAGCTACTTTCCAACAGGTCAACCCCCAGCCTGTACTGGTGCATGGGATTATTCCTGCCTAGGTGCAGGACCTTGCACTTGCCTTTGTTGAACTTCATGAGGTTCCTCTCCGCCCACCTCTCCAGGTCCCTCTGAATCACACCAATGCTTGGAACAGTATCAGCACCTGACTGTCTGACAACCCAAGTATTCTGTCAGAGGAGGAAGGGAGTAGGGGAAACTACAAAGGTATTTGGAGTATACTCCCAAATGAAAGAAAATCCACAACAGGAGAGGGTGGAAGGGGGTAGGTGGGTGTCAGATAGTCAAATATCCCCATTCATGCTATACTTTCTCTACTAAGGTAATGTCCTGTTAAAACTATCAATCAGAGGAGTAAGCAGTATATTACAGAGCTCTTCAGTAAAGTTGTGTCACTGACAAGACAGGTTTGAAGAAGCAGCTTTCAGAGATTTCAGCACTGAAAACTTATTAAATAGACTCACAGAAACAGAGGACAAGCAAAGAGATACCCCCCTCAAAGGGGGGGCTTTATCATTAGTGTATATGCTAGTCAGGAATATTTTGGGCTACATGAGGCATACCTCTTAAAACTGCATTTCTTTTCAGAGTCTGCCATCCAGAGACCTGAAGAGACAGAAAAATAATCTAAAGTTAACATCCAAAACTCCTTCAAATCCAGCCACCACATAGAAATCTTAACCTACTAAGCTCTCCTAATACTACCTACATTTATTAATTCAAGACAATTCAAAGGAAAAAAAACATTCATTTTGATAAAGAAAAAAAAAGGGAAAGTCTGCCAGAATTAGAAAAGGGAACTTCAGGAAACACCAATGTAACATCCTTCTATGAAAGGACACGCTCACCCCAGAAAAGGAAAAACACTCAAAAATTCAAGTAGCCCTGATACCACGTGGTGGCAAAAAGACCAAAAAAAAGGTCAGTTATCTGTACAAATGAGAATGACAGAAGAAAGAGCTCACTTGAACCATAAGCTATGAACTATATAACAAATAATTGATCTGTTAAAAAGAAGATTTGGGATTGAAAATCCACAGCAAACACTTTTAAATATATTTTGAGAATAATACTATCTGCCTCTCCATTTCATTGAGTTTGTAAAAAATTTTCAGAAGGAAATCTGTCATATCTCCGGAACAGTTGCATATCTTCCAACATAAAAAATATTTTTCTATCACTTTACAGCCAGGGGATAATCACATGAACATTTTAGCTTGACAAGAGAAGGTGGGGTTTTTTGGGGGTTTTTTTTGTTGTTTTTTTAAATTAAGTGGGAGGAGGGGAACAGACAGAGAGAGGGAAACAAGGACTGGGACCCAGTGAGATGTGGATTACCACCAATTTTCTCAAGAGAGGCTTGGCTGTAAGATTGGGAGCTGGTGCATTAT